AGAAAAAAAGTTTAGTTTTGGAATAATGTGGCCTATATGTTACTTGAATTGTTTTTTATATTTTGTGGAAAAACAGCATTGAACTGAAGGACATACAGAATTAGGAAAAGTCAGATAACAAACCCAACATAAGATTAATTTAACCAAAATGATTTCACTTCAAAATCTAAAAAAAACGTGAGAATGACTGCCTTTGGAGTTCTATTTGTTAAAGAGAGCCGTAACCCGGCTCTGAAGTTAAGTATAAAACAATGTGCCCAAACTTAAAAGACTCTGTCTTCAGTAGGTTGTTTATGGAAAACTTACTTCTATTAACCGCCGCCATGTTATAACCCGCCACCAGGACGACCAGTATAAACCTTAATAGTTAGACATTCTGTTATTAGTGACATTTGTCCCCCATTGTTATGGGCCTTTGATCTACTGCCCTGTCTTTAACAAAGGGCAAACCCTGCATGCTCCATATCCTCTTCCATCACTTTATTACTGTCTGGATGAAGCTGTTTGGGGCATTAACACCAACGCCCCAATTGATCAAAGGACTCATGAAGTTCTGATGGTTATTTATAGCTCATCTCCAAAGAAGAAGGTCATTGAGTTCGCCAAAAGACAAAAAATCTAGTGTTATTTTACCAGATTTTTGGCTTTAAAGATGTTGTATGTTTATATTCAAGGAAAGGCAAGTGGTCCAATGTTCCAGTAACCTCATTATTTTGTGTCTTTTTCGTAGCTGATGAAGAAAAGCTGGATGAACGAGCCAAGCTGAGCGTAGCGGCAAAGCGGTCGCTCTTCAGGGTGAGTTGCAGCTCTTGCCCATTTGGGAGATTGGTTACTTTGGGTCTTCACTTTTCCTGGCATCTCAGAACTCCCTACTTAAGGTTAGATTCATAGCATGAAGTCAGAATTCTGCCAAAAGTACTAGCAATTTTTTTCAAACACGAAAAGGATTTTAACCCTACACATTTTCAATGTGTAATGCTTGCAGATTCAATACCATGATCTCACCAGTGTATCACCACCATGAGTATTAGAATATTCCGGGGAGTGGCGGCCAATTTGTTAGGGCATTGCGCTTGGAATCCAGAGGTTCTGAGTTCAAGCCCAACTCCGACAGACTGCCACTATGTGTCTCTGAGCAAAGACCATTATAGACCGACACCTTGTCTGGATTTAAAGCTGCAATCATAACCGAACCAAGTAAACTGGATCGGCTGCTCAGTTATAACTGAGCAGCCAAGCGGGCAAAACAGAAGCAGGATCTAGTAGCTAAGAGCATTAACTTTGGAGAGGCTAGCATCAGGGTTCCTGCGGGTCCTTAAAAAGTCTTAAAAGGCATTGAATTTTTCAAAATAAAACTAAGGCCTTAATTGGTATTAAAATGTCTTAAATCAGTCTTTCGTAGGTCTTAATTTTTTAAAACATCATAAATAGGATTATTTTTATTACAATTTATTTTTGTAATCTAAATAAAACGTTAAAATGGACATTTTTTTTATAAAAAAAAAAAAATGGCTCTCCATTATTGGTTCCGTCCCGATAGCGGAACCAATAAAAGCGTTGTTGCGGCCGGGACATTTGGGAGATGCACCATTAACTTTTCGTCTGGAAAACATGAGCAAGTGTAAATGTAACCAAAATTGTCTCCAGCCAAGAGTTTTCTCCATGGCTAAAACCAGGGAACATACATGAGG